GCCCCAGGCTTGCCCCTGGGCAGGTGATCCGGTGGTGTGGGGAAGAAGGAATGCTGGAGAGGCTGCGCGGGTGCCTGGTCTCTCCCTCTCTCTCTCCAGCTGCACTTCCACAGTTCATGACCTGGTGTGCGACGACCAGTGCAGACACAGAGGCGAGATATCGGTTTTGTTCTGCAGACACGGGTGCTACGTGCTAACTCCGCAAAGCCACCATGCTAGGTTACTATAGAGGGCTGCCTGGGTGCCTGGTCTCTCCCTCTCTCTCTCCAGCTGCACTTCCACAGTTCATGACCTGGTGTGCGACGACCAGTGCAGACACAGAGGCGAGATATCGGTTTTGTTCTGCAGACACGGGTGCTACGTGCTAACTCCGCAAAGCCACCATGCTAGGTTACTATAGACTTGCATATTTACACATAAAAATGTCAGTTCTGCCTATTACCGATCCCCTCCTAACTACGGTTGATAGTTCCCTTTGATTTAAAGATAGAGCACTTCTAAAATGTACCATCTGTGCTCAGTAAATAAGGTTCTCTGTTGAGGCTGCGGTCTCCAACTCAAGGGGTGTGATTTTTAGTGTTATAATAGGGATAGTTCATTTAAGGGCACTCTTTATCATTTTTCTGCTGTTAGTGTCAACTTGTTCAAAAGTATCTTAGTTAGCTCCTGTATCAGCCACGCTTGTCAACATCTTGGCCTTCCATTAATCCTAGAATCCTACGTATTCTAGCTAAATAATTAGGCCAGACTGCCCTTCTATGCACATTTGCATAATGCCGAGTTCAACTGACTACAATTTCCCCCTTAGAGACTAAGAGTATTGCGTAGAGAAGTCTCACTTTCTCCCCAGATTAGTCGGTTAATGCTAAGCAACATGTGCAGGTCCACTGTATTAACACACACACGAAAATAATTAATCTGATCAGTATTAAGCTCCATCATTTCTTTGTCCACAGACTTAAATTAGGGAACCAAGAGGTTAGCTGTTTCCAGGTCTCTTCAAATCCGAAAGAAGTGTCATCCTTTTGAATTTCATGTAAAATTTTAGTTTGTTGCCAGATTTCATTTAAATCAGTCAAGTTTCATCTGCTTTGGTCTATATCCTTCCACAGATTGTGCCAGGAAATATTTGCTGGAATTGGGATCCGAGTCAAGGGGATCCCTTTCTCTGCACATTCCCGGAAGTGAGTACATACTTAGCAGTCAGTTTTATTTGCGCTTTTCATAGTTCTGTTAATCCCAGATGGACGTTAAATCTCCATGGATTCGCTAATTTTCCTGTTTCCTTTTGGTGACATGTAAAAATATGGCAAGACAGAAGAGGGATATAATTCCCTCTGTTTCTTTCACTCCTTACTTTAAACAAATCAGTGTCTCTACAAAGATACGTTAGTAACACTCTTGTTCCTCATAATGTAAGAAAATACAAGAATAATTCCCCTTGCATGCAATGTATGCGAGTTATAGATCCTATATGAATCCAAGTACGGTTCATTTAATTCCAAGTCAGCTTCAAATTCAACGGTGCCGTTTCTCTCGACGTCCACTCTTTCGGAGGGGCATTTTTCACCTGTGTGTAGTGCATCCAACAATCTGTTCCTTTTATTTTGATAGCTGTGGGGGTAATCAGCAATACCAAATACAGTCCCTTCCAGCGCTCTTTCGGAGGTTCGTCTTCACAGGTTCAGATGTAGACTTGGTCTCCCACTTGAAAGGTGTGCACTGGAGTATCTAGTGGAACAGGCGCTTTCTCACTCAGGTACCTGTGAAGGGAAGAAAAAGTACACCCTAATGACAGCAAATATTTAGTTAGGATCTGGTCTCCATTAGCATACATTCGATCGCTCTTTCCTGTTAGCGTCTTTACAGGATATGGTTTACCATACAGAATTTCAGAAGGACTAACCCCTTCCTTGACTCTGGGAGTAATTCTGATTCTTAGCAGTGCTATAGGTAGAATTTCTATCCATTTCATTTGGGTTTCCTGGCATAATTTTGAAATTTTTCTCCCTGAAGTTTGAATTATCTGCTCTACTTTCCCACTGGATTGTGGCCTCCAAGGAGTACGTAAAACCCAATCACACTGCAAGAACTTAGCAACTTCCTGCACAATTTTAGCAATAAAGCAGGGCCCATTATCTGAGGCCATTCCTTCAGGGATAATGAATCTAGGAATTCTTTCAAGGGCACTCTGACTACCTCTCTAGCCTTATTGGTCTGGCACGGGAGAGCCTCTGACCGTCCAGAAAAACTATCTACCAATACCAATAAGTATTTAAATTGATTACATCTGGGTAATTCAGAGAAATCTATTTGCCAGTACTTCCCTGGAGTTTGTCCCCTTTTAACTTGTCCCAGAGGAGGTCTTTTCTGTATTTTTGTATTGTTCTTGCAGCATATTGAGCACTGTCTTACAACAATATTTGCTAGTTTTTGCATTCTTGGCCCTATGGCATATCGTCTGATGTTTGCTATTATGGCATCTGCCCCCACATGGGTTTCTTGATGATTCTTTTTTATTGATTCCCTTATTAGTGGGGTTGTGACTGTTTTTGTCCAGTATCGGTTGTCCACCATCCATCCTTGGTTTTAGAACAGTTTAAAAGTTTTGCTAAATGACTGTCCTTTTCTGAATATGTTGAGGGCTCCAGTAAATTTGTTCCAGTCAGAATTAAAGCCTCCACCAAAGACTCTGTCACAGCAGCCCCTTTTGTGTCTCATTAGCTTTTTGATTTCCACTAATGGTATCTGTTTGTCCTTTGAGATGGGCGTTACAGTGCATTACAGACACTTCCTTCAGCTTGAGAGTAGCCTGTAATAATTTTTAAATTGCCTTTCCATACTTAACTGGAGTTCCTTGGGAGGTAACAGTCCTCTTTCTTTCTATATGGCTCCATGGGAATGTGTCACTCATGCATATTTTGAGTCTGTATACATGTTTATTCTCATATTTTCAGACAATTCCAGCACTCTGGTTAGGGCACTCTGTATCCAGCAAGTCTCAGGAAAATTAACAGATCGATGGTGACTCATTTGCATTCTTGTTCTGCCACGGTCTCTATTAATATCACCGGGGACGATTGTGGCACCAAGTGCTGTGTGACAGGCTCCTGCGGAGGTGTCATTTATATGCATGGACTATTTAATGATTGCTTTGTTCTTTGCATAGGTAACTGGGGTTCCTGCACTCCTGCTCCAGGATCCACCAGTCTGATCTTCTCTTCTGGGACTCCACTAGAGGCTTAGCAACTGGGTGACCATCTGAGCCCTGCCAGCGTCGCCCAGTCACCAGGCAGGGCCAGGTGCCACCAAGGGAAGGCTCAGATCCCGGCAGCTGGATGTCAAGCAGGGTGTCCCTCCACTGCCTGCTGCCCACACACACACTGCAGCTACAGCTCTTGGGCTCGGGAAAAATGCCAAGGCCTTTTGATACCAAGCAAGCAGAAAAGCACCCTGCTGAGATGCGTATTTTGTGGTCAGTCCGGCTCTCACACCTTAACCTTGAGTATACACTCTTGACTTAGTATGTTTATTTTCTCCAGAAGCGGGGCTCAGACCCCCTGAGCGACCGAGGGGTCACAGAGCTGCACACACCTGTCCTGCTGCTTGGAGATCTTCAGGCAGAATGGCTGCGTGCTGCTGCTTGGAGAGGACCTTCAGGCAGAATGGCTGAGGGCAGCGTCTCCGGAGGCCAAGTCTCCTGGCTCACTGAGGAGCTAGCTCCAGTCAGGGCTTTAGATGCCATGGTAGGCAGGCTTGGTGGGATGAACATAGCTGAACAAGGCTTATGCCCTGTCCTGCTGCTTTTGAGGGAAGCAGAGGCATAGCTTGTCCAGGAGGTGACCTTGTCAGAAGTTATTGTCGTTTGACTTTTGCATCCTCTTCCTCTGAAGATGACTGTAAACAGAAGGGGGG